GAGTCTCTCTCTGTTGCCAGGCAGGAATACAGTTTCGCTATCTTGGCTCACTGCAACCTCCGCCTCCCAGGTTCAAGCGATTCTCCTGCCTCAGCCTCCCGAGTAGCTGGGACTACAAGAGCCCACCACCACACCTGGCTAATTTTTTGTATTGTTAGTAGCGACGAGGGTTTCACCGTGTAAGTCACGATGGTCTTGAACTCCTAACCTCGTTATCTGCCCTCCTGGGCTTCCTAAACTGCTGGGGATTACAGGTGTGAACCACCGCACCTAGCTGTGGTTTGGATTTTAATACATTTGTAAATAGGCCATCAGCATTTTTTTTACTCCTAAATATTGATTCATCAGTGTGTATATAATTACATAGCCACAGTATTATTGTGAAAATCAGAAAATTAGCAATACTATGATCTATCCACTTATGCATTTTTTTGACAACTGACTCAATAATGTCCTTCATAGCAAAGGAAAATCCAAGATCACACCTTGCATTCAGTTGTCAGGTTTCCGGTCTGCTTTAGTCTTGAAGATAGTTGCTTAGTATTTCTTCAGTTTTCATGCAATGAACATTTTTTAAGATTACAAACCATTTATTTTGTAGAATATTCCTTAATTTAGGTTTGTCTGATTTTTTGTTGTTATTAGTTTCAAGTGACGCATTTATGGAAGGAATCCTACAGAAGTGACTTTGTATTCATTCGTGTCAGAGCATTATATTAGGAGGGACATGATATCAGTTTGTTTTGGTTGTTGCTGTTTTTTGTTTTTGAGACGGAGTCTTGCTCTGTCGCCAGGCCGTAGTGCAGTGGCACGATCTTGGCTCACTGCAACCTCCATCTCCCGGGTTCAAGCGATTCTCCTGCCTGTACTTCTGGAGTAGCCGGGACTACCGGCTCGGGCCACCATGCCCAGCTAATTTTTGTATTTTTGGTAGAGACGGGGGTTTCTCCATGTTGGCCAGCATGGTCTCCATCTTCTGACCTCGTGATCTGCCAGCTTTGGCCTCCCAAAGTGCTGGGATTACATGAGTGAGCCACCGGCCGATCAGTTTGTTTTACTGCTGATAATGTTAACTTTGATCACTTGCTGAAGATTTCTCCATCATAATGTTTCCATTTTCCCCTTTGTAATTAGTATCTTGTGAGGAAATACTTTGAGAATATGTAAACATTCTGTTTACTCCTCAAACTTACACTCCCTAATTCTAATATCTGACGATACTTACTTGAATTTATTATTATTACAGCAGTTGCCAAATGATGATTTTCCAATTACATCATTCCTTTCACATTTATTGTTGGTTTTCTACTGTGAGTTTTCAGGAGAATTACATGATTTCATTTAAATCATTAAATGAGCTATTGTTTCTGTGTGAAGAATGATAGCTAAGGGAAGGACAAGAAGGGACGCTAGTTGGAAAGTTATTGCACTTTCGTGTGCTAGCAGTACTGGAGAGTGATTTGGACCAAAGTGGTGGCAGTGGAGGTTGAAATGTTTGATGTATTTCAGATGTGTAGAGTGCTCTGGTTGGAGTGTCCCTTTCAAAACACGTGTTGAAATTTCATTGCCAATATAATGATATTGTGATGTGAGGCCTTTAAGAGGTGATTAGGCCATGAGGGCTCTATGGATGAATGACATCAGAGTCGGTTAGTTATTTTAGGAGTGGGTTCCTAATACAATGATGTACGTCACTGGATTTCAGCTCTATCGCACATATTCACTTGCTCTTCTGATCCTGTCATGGAATAACACACCACAAGGCCCTTGCCAGATGTCAGTGCCATGCTCTTGAACTTTCCAGCCTCTCAGACCATGAGCCAAATAAACGTTTCTTGTTTATGAATTACCTAGTTTATGGTATTCTGTCATAACAGCAAAAAATGGGCCAAGATAAAGGGCTTGCAGAATTGGATATAGAAATTAAGGGGGAAAAAGGAATTTCAATTGCTTCTTCCTGCTAATGAAGCATTATAATTGATGTTTAGTTTTTATTTTGTAGATAGATAAAAGGACTTGAATTTACCTGGAAGATTAGCCACTTAATTTGCCTAACTCTTGTTAAAATATTCCAGTTGCAATTCTTTTTTTTTTTTTTTGAGACTGAGTTTTGCTCTGTCAGCCAGGCTGGAGTGCAGTGGCATGATCTCTGCTCACTGCAACCTCCGACCCCTCGGGATTCAAGCGATTCTTCTGCCTCAGCCGCAGGTGTAGCTGGAATTACAGGCACGCGCCACCACGCACGGCTAATTTTGTGCTTTTAGTAGAGAGCCGGTTTCACCATGTTGGCCAGGCTTGTCTCTCACTCCCGAACTCTGGTGATCCGCCTCCTTGGCCTTCCTTGGCTAGGATTACACGCGTGAGGCATCGCATCTGGCCTTTAGTTGGAATTCTTTTATGGGGACTTCGGATTTAGACCACGATCCTCCAAGAAAATGTTGAAGAAAGCGAACGGTTATAGTTGCAGTTGGCCTTGGAGGTAAATTATAAGTACTCCAAACTTGTTTAGGTACCCAGTTAAACTTTTATTTAACATCACTACTTGTGTGTGTAAACACTATTTCAGTGCCCAGTGCACTCAATATTTATTAATAAGAATTTGGGGGCTCTTTCTGAACTCATTGTGTGATGAGCTGCCTAATTTGGGGCTAGAATGTTGATTTATCCTGTGTTTTAGAAGAATGTCTTAAATCGGCCGGTCGCTGTGGCTCACGCCTGTAATCCCAACACTTTGGGAAACCGAGGCGGGTGGATCACCTGTGGTGAGGAGTTTGAGACCAGACTAGACCAACATGGTGTTAAACTCCGTCTCTACTAAAAATACAAAATTAACCGGGCGAGGTAACTCATGCCTGTAATCTCAGCTACTCAGGAGCCTGAAGCAGGAGAATCGCTAGAACCCGGGAGGCGGAGGTTGCTGTGCGCGGAAATCATGTAATTGTTACTCTAGCTTGGGCATCAAAAGCAAAACTTCGTCTCAAAAAAAAAAAAAAAAACCAGAAGAATGCAATGCATTGTGGTCTCAGGTTCCTAATTATTTGTCTGATTCACAATAAGACTTAAATGGTATTGGTATGAAATTGTTTGAACAAGTTACTCCAGCTTACTTTGGAAGTCATATGTATGAAATCAGTACGTAATTTACACATATTTTTATAGGGCGAGAAGCTTTATGAAAACATCAGCCTGTTTTATCTTTTCATTAGAATACCTAATACAGTGCTTTACATGTGGTATTTAATGAATATATGGAATGTGAAAAAACAATACAATCAAATTCATCTTCCCAGGTACAGTCGGCAAAGTTATAAAGTAATCACAAATCAGTTTGCAGTTGTGAGAAAAAAAAATAATTGTAATATTTTAAGCTTTAAAATTTTAAATAACACGTATGCGCTTTGAGGACTCTAAATGTATACTATTTTATGACATATCGTATTATTTTTAAATTTAATACCTCAGGAAATGTGATGCCCAATGTATCTAGCTTCCAAATACTGTGCTTTGGGGTTAGTATCCTAAGAATTGTTTATTTTCGGGATTACAAACCGGTCTTTTACTTGCACTTTGAACAGTAGTATAAATACCACACACCCCTCTCCACTCTCAGAAAAATTTGCAGAATTTCTTATCTGGAAAGATTCACCATCATTTCAGAATATATGTATTTCCATATGACATTATTCCAGTAACTCCTGTCTCAATTTGATTAAAATCAGGTTTCTGAC